GTCATGCTGGGTAGGGTGGAGGGTCAGAGAAAAAGAGGAAGACCCCCAATGAGATGGATCGGCCAGGTGGCATCATTGATGGATTCGGGGGTGGCAGCGGTGGTAGCGGTGGTGAGGTTGGCCCAGGATCAAGCACTGTTTCGTTCTGCTGTGCATGGGGTCGCTATGAGTCGGTTCCGACTCGATGGCACCTGACAACAACAACAACATATGATCCAGAAATTCCACATACAAGGTACTTAAAAATAACAACACAGACAGATATGTGTGCATCAATGTTCATTGTAGCAGTATTCATAATAGTCAAATTTGGAAACAACCTACATGTTCATCAGCAGATATAGCACAAGCATACACGGACTATTACTCATCCAGTAGGAGAAATGAAGTCTTGATACACGGTACAATATATATGAAACTGGAAGAGATTCTGCTGAGTGAAGTCAGTCAAAGAAGGACAAATATTATACAATCTCACTTACCATAAAATAACAAAAATAGGCAAATATATAGAAACCAAAGCTTATTGGTGGCTACAAAGGTGGGAGGGAGCAGAAGATGGGAGCCATTGTTAGGAAACAGTGGGTTCCTATTTATTATGATGGGAAATTTGGTATCACTTCAGGGTAATTGTTTCACAACATGATTAATGCAATTTATATTACTAAGATGTACACCTGAAAAATGTTGAATTTGCAAATGCTGTGTGTGTGTGTGTATTTATTTACAACAGTTTTTTTTTAAAGGCAATTTTTTTTTTTTTACATATTTAGAGATGATTCAAATTCATCTCTATAATGTCACCATATTTGTTAAGATGAATTCCTATATTTGTTAGGATTCTTTCAGTTCCAAGGAATGAAAAAAGCTAACTCAAAATGTTTGAAAAAGAGAATTTATTATCTTACTTGTTGAGATTTCTCTAGGTAGGGCATCTCCATGACTTGTCTATTCTGTGATTTCACAAACACATTCAAGTCCTAGGATTTTTTTTTCTTTATCTTCCTACTCTGTTCCACTAGAGAAAGATGAGAAGTTCTCCTGTAAAGATTTACAGCCTCGGAAACCCTATACAGGTTCTATGAGTTGGAACTGTCTCTACAGCATACAACCACCACACCCACCACCCACCACTGTCACCTATAATACGCCACAGGTTGCAAGATGGCAACTGCAATTCCACACATTACATCTTCACACAAAGGTCCAGAAGCAGAAAAGAAACTGTTTTCCTTGGGTCCCTTTTTTTAAGAGCTAAGAAACTTTTACCAGAAACATATACCCTCTCAAAGATTCGTATGGTTTCTCATTGACCAGGGTTTAGTCATATGTCATTTCGTGAGCTACTCACTGGAAAAGAGAATACATTATTTCAGACAAACCAACATTTACTCATTGGGCCTAATGAATCACATGACTTTATGATCCGTGTGGATACCTGCACAAAAATCAGTCTGTTAGCAGAAGAAAATAAAGGAGTGATTGTTTTAGTTGCTCACTTACATTCTTCTGTGCTTTCCTGCAGGAGACAAAAGGAGGTTAAGCTATAACTAGAGCAGTATCAGTCACACCAAACACTGCATATCTCTCATGAGGATGTGTAATGAGAATGGCTAAAATGCATCTTGGCAGGAGCAAGACTTGAGATCTGCTTACTGCTCTATATCTACAGTCTTCACTTTGTATGTATCACTCAATCCAATGCAATCTAATTCCATTGAAATTGTAATGAAAGTGTTTCAATTACAGGCAATCCTTGAGTTGCATGATTTTGATAGGTAGAAATATCACTACCACACTGATTCCCAAACAACATGGTTCAAATTTCAGTTACAATAATGTAGCAATTGTGAATAATTGTGTAGAGTACAAACTTTGCTGCTAAGCTCTTCAGTCCCCAGAGAAAACACAAATAATAGGTAGGCATCATGATCAGTGACCAATCACAGTTGTTGTGGCCATGCTGCAGAAATAGATGGACCCCCCCCCCAAAAAAAAAAAAAAAAAAAAACTCGGTTTGAATATCAATTCTGATGATGCCTCACATGCACCAAAAGGGAATCAATAGTTTTGTGCCTTAATATTTAAGGCTTTCTGGGGAGAGCAGGCTTGAAAATGGTTGAAGGCAGTGAGAACCAGTGTCTGGCTTGGGTTTTATTGTGATTAAGGGGTGAGACTGGGTGAAGTTTCCTGAACATGACAAGGGGCTTGCATGGTTTGAATTTTCTGCCTGTGCCAAAGGAGGAAGTAGCTGGGCTTTCTTATCAACTAGCCTAGACGGGGAGTAGAGGGGAAGAGGGAAGGAATTCTTAAAAGCAAACAAATAGAACCACACAACTTGGAAGGTGGGTGTCCCATTTATTTCACAATCTAGGTTTAGAACAGAGCTCAAGGAGCCAACTTCATTAATACGGATATCTATGAAAATGTCATTCATTCATTAAGCAAATATTGACCAAAAATGTACTATTGATCAGGCTCAGCTCCAAATTCTGAGTGCACTATTGGTTGACATAGATAATCAATTGAATGCACTTTGACTGAACCCTTCCCCAGGTATCACTTGAACCTCTGTTATTTGACCCATTAATGTAAGCAGAAACTACAGTGACCAATCTGCTTTAGGAGAAGACAGTTTAGTTTTGGCAAGATGGTCTTCAGCTCAATTAACCATGCCATATTCATCTGCCTGTTGGGACAGACAAGCAGTGGACTTAATTAAAGAATTAATTAAGTTGACCTACAGCGACCCTCTAGAGGGTTTCCTAGGAGCGACTGGTGAGCTTGAACCACCGACCATGCAGTTCAAACTGACTTTGCAGTTTAGCGCATTAACCCACAGCGCCAAACCAGGACTCTTATTAATGAATAGACTTCATTAAAAACTTGAGATAAGCCTTTGCAGTTTTGAAGTATTACTGAAGAGTTGTGCAGAACTTAATTTCCTTAATTTCTTAAAGCACATTTACATAGTTTTTTAGGGTTTACATGGATTTCGGTAGACTGTTAATTGATTTTTTTTTTTCAAACATCACTAAATTAGAAGGGCCAATACTCCTGTTTCTATTGAACGAAAGGGAAACCCACAGTTCAGACAGGGTCTCTGATTGGCCCAAATAGATGATTGTAAGTGATGGGTCTGTGTTGAAAATACTCATAATAAAGATTAAATCATATTTTAAATATGCAGAATTGACTGGGCAGCAGTAAATTTTAAAAATCACTGAGAAGACTCTTGTTGTGATTGCCTTTGGGAAATTCTATTATAAACATAAACGTACTCCATTTATTTTGTGGGCAATGCTAATTTTTCACAAATTAGGTTTGTAGAGTGCATAGTTCTAAATAAAGCTCAGAGGAAGAGCAGAGGTTTAACGTGATCATTCTAGCAAACCTGCCAGCTCATATCGGATTTAGAACCCCGTGTACTGAAGCGATCAAGTTCACACTGAGGAATCTGTTAAATAAACCTGAGGAATCTGTTAAACAAACCTCTGGGCAAGGAATTGGAGCAGTGGTTTTCTGGACCCATTATTCTTTCGAATAGAAATGGAAATACTAACAGAGTTCATACTCAACTTTTAGAGTTTCAATCTCTTACCACTGTTTGAGCTCGCTCACTTCCCAAAAGAAGCATGGCATTTACGGCCAAAAGAAATAAAAATTTCTGGACTTCCTTGAGTGAAGCAGCCATCAGGGTTAAAAAATAATCTGTCTAGCTTGTTTCCTGTGGAACACTGAAGATAAGCAGGATAGGGAAAGACAAAGAAGTGTCACCTCCCATCCGGGGGTTGAGAGATTCAAGTAGTAAGAAGTGGTGTTTATGCGTGAGAGCCAGTATAGACAAGAACCGGTAGCCTGCTAGGTGTGACTAAGGTCTGACCTAAGGGACTTCTGAGCCCAGCTACATGTTAAGTCCATGGCAGTGACATTGGAGAAGCACTTTGAGAGTACAACAGTTAACTTTGTAGAGAGATGGCTAGCACAGTGTGCATAGTGTTTGAGGACTGTGCAGAGCAAGTTCGTAAGTTGGAGGTGGGAAAAAGAAGGACATGGTAGAAGTCAAAGATAAACGACCACACAGACAGTAAAGAGATGGAAGCGGGCTGCAAAGCGCGTGAAAGAGGAAAACAAACTGACACGGGCCATAACCAATGGGAAAGAGGAGAAACAGAAGGCGACCGCAGAGTTCGGTCCGCCGCGCTACAGGGGGCGCCCGCGCGCCTCACCACGCCCGCGCGCCGCTTCCTGTCCCTCCTCGCCAGGATGTTGCTGCCGCTGCTGCGGGGAAGCTGCTTTCCTCCCTCCTCTCCCGGCGGCGGCG